AATTACTGTTTTGCTGCATAATAAAATAAATGCAACCTGGGCGAACATAAGAGACTTATTTCAAAAACATCAAAACATTTCTTACTGACCCTAACTGTTGTGTAACTATGTTTATCAGGGACACACACTTTAAAAATCACTAAAGACTAAGAGTACTACATTCATATTAGTAACCACAGTCATAATGAAATCAGTCACGAAGGGTGGCTGTGGAACTTTGTGAATGTTGGTCGTACCTATTCTGTGCAAATAAGACTTTTCTAAGGGCACTTATGAAATTTCATGACTGTTAGGTTGCTGCCTTATAAGATGGCATCCTATGTAGGGAGCAGGCAGCATGGCAGTTCACTAGATTTTGGAAGAAAGCTGAGGAGTCAATGTAAATCCACACTGTGAGCAGGAAACAACTACATTCAAAACGGCTGGAAAACGAAACAAAGAAACGTGAGATTTATGTAGGGCATCAACTGGAGATTTCTCAGATTCTACATTTAATTTTACAATCTGTAACAAACCTAAGATATTCTCACATTCCCTTTTCCATCCCTATAGTTCTGCCAACACATCTACATATCAATTTCATTCATTCAATATGTGAGCCTGGAGCACAAAAGCAGTCTTAAGTCGCTGGGGTATATTTGTAGCAATAGCCAAAAATACGTTGTATGGGTCAAAATGATAGATTTTTCTTTTATGCCAAAAATCATTAGGATATTAAGTAAAGATCATGTTCCATTAAGCTATTTTGTAAATTTCCTACCGTAAATATATCAAAACTTAATTTTTGATTAGTAATATGCATTGCTAAGAACTTAATTTGGACAACTTTAAAGCCAATTTTCTCAGTATTTAGATTTTTTCCCCCTGCATAGCCCAGATCCTTAAGTCTCCTTCCATACAAGCATAAAACCCATATCGATAAATAAACAGTGCACACTTGATTCCACCAACAAGTCGATGGAAAAGAAATAAAAAATAGGACGGTGCACCATGCCCATAAACCCACTAAAGCCAAACTCCTTTGTGGTCATCTGAAATGATAGATGAGTGTCTGTAGTATCAGACAAAGTCCACTGCGCTTGTCTGCCCCTAGAGGGTACTCACGCTCCAGCGAAACGGGGCCAAAACAGGTGACATAATCATTTAAATCAAGCACACTGCCATCGACTACACCGCCTGCCCTTGATCTCCATTCATTCATCTATTAGGGTGGAGGTGGTTGTATCACAATGGATTATTTTGCATGCTTAATTGCATAATAAATTCTTTATTTGCGTCGTAAATGTCTGATATTGACCCTATGCTTTTTTCTTTTTTTTTTACCCAAACCCCCACAGGACTAAGAATATCCTTTTGTGCGGGATCACAGCGTATTAACTAATAGTAGACAACAACACTAATGACTCGTGTGAGGAATGCAGCTGGCTGTTGCCCGAATCACGCTGCCTTGACAACAGACGTGAGGGTGAAAGAGAAAAGTAAGACGCTTTTTGTCTTCCCCCCTGAATAAAGAGGAAAAGAAGGAGGCAAAGACCACCGAGAGAAAGAGAGAGAAATGACCGCAGTGTATTAAAGCAAAGGGATGACAAGAAAAAGAAAGAGTAAAGCATGAGAGGAGGGGGATGAGAGGATGATGTCATTCTTTTTCCTCACCAGTGAAGCAGACTTGATGGTGGTGAAGCGCTCACGGTTTTTATAGTTATGAGCCTGAGCTCTTTCTGATGAGGACGGTCGCAGGTCCGAGCGGTGGTCCCGATGAGGAAGGTCATCACGGATAAACTGATGATCCAAAAAGCAAAAAGCACATCAAAACACACTCTCTTCAAGCTATACATTTGAGTTTTACAGTCAAACCACTCAGACACCAGACACCAGATATCATTTTTTTACTAGTGGGTGCAGGACACTTTATGTAATAATTAATTTATAATTTATGCATTTAGCAGACGCTTTTATCCAAAGCAACTTACAGTGCATTCAGGCTATACATTTTTTACCAGTAAGTGAGGATAGCTTAATAAAGTGAACTGTGACATATTATACCCAAAAATTCTTCATACTGTGGACTACCAGTAAAATTTGGGACCAAAAATTATTTAGACACTTTGACCTGACCATGCTTCTTTAATTGCTAATGCAGCATTTTCACGTTTCCGTGTTTCTCAGCAGCGGACGTCGTCGTAGTTGGGTTAACTTCGAAAGCAGTTAATGGGAGAGTACCACAGATATATATATTTTTTGCATTCCCAGTTGCTCAAATAGCAAAAGAAAATCTCCACGATAGTGTTTTCATGACTTTCAATAATTGAGAGAGACTGATAATGGCTGTCAGAAGAGAGAACGATGTCAAATTTACCGCATTTGCATTTGAAACACCCTCGCATTAGCGTTAACTAGTTTTTTTGTCATTTGATGCAAAGTATAGTGTTATAAATATACATACATAAAAAAACTTTCGAGGATTTACGATGCTGATGACCATTGAAACGCGTCATCACAGTCTTGTGAAAAGGGTCCATGTGAGCTTTTTACACCACAGACTGAACAAAATTAAGCATTGCTTGGTAATTAGTTGAGCTAAATTGGTTTTATCTAATTGTGTACTTGCATTTAACAGCGGACAGCTATTCAACTGAATTCATTACATACCTTTCTATCAAAGTTACCTGACATTATCAAGATGAATTTGTTCTGACACAGTTTAACTCTGAGTTCTAGTCATATTTTATTACCGTTTAATAGCGAATAAACTGTGATAATGTGAGAAATGTTGAAGGTGTTTGAATACATTCTGGCTTGACTGTAGGATCAGCGGAGACGTTTCTAAACGACACTGTTCAACACTAACGAACTCACTATCTTAAAATATCTTCATTAATCGACCCACGAGCTTCGCTGAAGCGTTCATATTCCTCAGTGAATAAAATGAAGTTCAGTTCCCCCAAAGTCTATTCATATTTCTCCTGCATTCTGATGTAATTTACTTGAGGACGAAAAGTTTCAATCAATCACGTGTGGGAAAGTGGATCTGAACTTCCAAAATCGCACACTTTTTAGAGAATGTAAAAAGCACTAAAGGAAAAAAAAAATTTTAAAAATAAAATTTTTCTTAAAAAGCTGGTTGGGTGTGCTTGTTTGTAGGGACTCCGTCTGACACTTATAACAACAATAACAATTATTATTAATATCATTATCAAAGAAAAATATTGCAAAGGAGATATTACTAATGTGATATTTAAGAAAAAATTACAATACAAATATTTTACAGTACAACTGTAAAATTACAATATTAACATTTATGAATGTTCATATATTTATTCAATTAAATCACAGCCTTTGTGATTTGTTGTCAAATGTCAATGACTTTTGAACCCTTTGACTATGACTAACAACAATCGCAAAATTAATTTACCTGAGTGTTGTTAGACAAGCACAATTTAACCACAAAGAACAACATTTTTAGTCCCTATAGGGTTGGGTACCGAACTCGGTACTTTTAAGGGTACCGACCGAATTGCGTCGGTACCTGAGAACGCCTCTGGGCGCATACGCTACAGAGAGAGAAAGAGAGACTCTGTGACGTGATGTAACCCCTGCAACTCGTTCAAACAACAAACAGGGCGAGCCGAAATGTTGTGAAGTGTGGTTACATTTCTAGGGCCATATGGTTTCTGCGAAAACGCGGATGGGATCGCGGAGTCCATTCATAAAAACGTAATTTACTCTATAGCGCGGAATGCCACGGAATTTGTCAATTGTGGACAAATAAATCAAAAGTAGCCACTGCCACTTAATTCGAATCGTGATATGAACTAGTGTCTGTGAATATTAAAATGCAAAAAGAAGTTTAAATTTAAATATAAAAAATAATATAAAATTTAAGTTTAAATATGAATCCTGCATGTTCCGCTTGCCTCTGTATGTATGAATGGCGGAAACGCGGTTTTGTTTACTACACAAATACTGAAGCACGCGTGACGCTCGCGGTGATTTCCGGCCTCTGCGTCTCGCTATATGACGGCATGAACACAAAAACGTAATCTCCAGAGCTGCTGTGAGAGTCACTTCGTGAGAATTTTACCGTTTCATTTAAGAAAACTAGCATCATCATACTGTAAAATGTTTTTGTAATTACACAGAGAGTAAAGTACCGAAAAAAGGTACCGGCACCGAAATTCAGGTACCGATACTGGTACCGTACCGGTTAAAATGTGAACGGTACCCAACCCTAAATATAGTACGTACTAGCTATACAGCATACAGTAGTCTCAAGCACAAGTTTGCATATTTGGTGGAGAGGAGCGCCACTGAACTTTTTCATCTTCAATCTAATAATAACTTTAAGTAAGTATACCTTCTCTGTGGCCTGAAAGACTGTGTGTGTACCATTAAAACTCTAACAAGCCAGCCTTCTGAGAATTAAAGAGCTTGACTGAGAGAGAAAATCATAGGAATTGACTTCCAGGAACGGACTGGAAAGCATATGTGACCCTGGAGCACAAAAGCAGTCTTAAGTCGCTGGGGTATATTTGTAGCAATATCCAAAAATACATTGTATGGGTCAAAATTATCAATTTTTCTTTTATGCCAAAAATCATTAGGATATTAAGTAAAGATCATGTTCCATGAAGATATTTTGTAAATTTCCTACCATAAACTTCATTTTTGATTAGTAACATGCATTGCTAAGAACGTCATTTGGACAACTTTAAAGATGATTTTCTCAATATTTAGATTTTTTTGCACCCTCAGATTCCAGATTTTCAAATAGTTGTATCTCAGCCAAATATTGTCCTCCTATCCTAACAAACCATGCATCAATGGAAAGCTTATTCATTTAAATCTCAATTTCACAAAAGTGACCCTTATGGTTTTGTACTCCAGGGTCACATATGTTCTATTTTTGGTCGTCAGCATCAATGCACGTATGCTAAGCATTTAAATGAAAAGGACTGCAATGCATTTTAAGCATTGTGGAGATTTCGGTGTGTGTTTGGGACCTTTTTGTGGTGCGTGGAAGACTCGAGGGTGCTGTCGTAGTCGTGGTGCAGCTCGGAGCAGGAGTCGTCTTGCACCTCCTGCAGGCTGTTGACGCTGCTGCTCTGACTGCCAGTGCTCACGGAGGTGCTGGGGATGGAGTGATTACTGCCCAAACTGTTCATCTTACAGCCTGCCTGATCTCCATCCTGTGCAAGAGACAGAGAAACTGATCATCCTTACTGAAAACCCCTATTTATTTCAATTACTGACAGCACTTTGCACATCTCACTGCAAGGCCTGTAATAGCAGTTGAACAGAGACACATTCACACCATTACTTAAAGTCACTTAATAGCTCAATGTTGTTCAAAATAGTGTATAGTCCCACCTTTAGTGTAGTGCAAGAAAATATATAATTCCATGTACAGTCTGCAGTATATACTTCCGTAAAATATATAGTTCAGTTAAAGTCAGTAATATACATTTCTGTATATTATAGTATCAAATTTACACTTTAGTATATCTTCACTACAGTTCAGTAGGTTATTGCATTTTTGCATTTAGCAGAAGTTTTCATCCTAAGCAACTAAGAGAGAGTATAGTTATATCTGATGTCTATTTCAATATATTATATAGTATCAAAAGTTCAGGGTTGGTAAGATCTTTTTTTTTTTATGATGTATTGTTTTTGAAAGAAGCCTCTATTATACTCCCCAAAGCTGCATTTATTTGTTAAAATATAGTAAAAACAGTGATTTTGTGAAATACGGTTACAATGTAAACGAATTACTTTAATATATTTTAAAATGTGATTTAATCCTGTGAACACAAAGCTGAATTTTCAGCAGTCATTTTGTTCCAGGATTCTTTAAAGAATAGAATTAAAAAGAATTTGAGATAGATTTTTTATTTATTTTTTTAAATGCAAACATCTTTACTTTCACTTCTGATTAATTGAATGCATCCTTGCTGAATAAAAGTATTATATTCTTTCAAAAAAAAAAATAAAAAATTACTGACCTTTGAACAATAGTATATTTTAGTAAAGTACATAAAGCTACAAATATACAGCAAATATCCATAACTGTTTATCATATACTGTGGTTGTGTATAGTATAGTACAGTCTAGTATGTATCATATACCCTCAGTTTAGTACAATATACTGTAGTTGACACTGACAATTCAGTATAGTACTATATGTGACCCTGGAGCACAAAAGCAGTCTTAAGTCGCTGGGGTATATTTGTAGCAATAGCCAACAATACATTGTATGGGTCAAAATTATCGATTTTTCTTTTATGCCAAAAATCATTAGGATATTAAGTAAAGATCATGTTCCATGAAGATATGTTGTAAATTTCCTACCGTAAATATATCAAAACTTAATTTTGGATTAGTAATATGCATTGCTAAGAACTTCATTTGAACAACTTTAAAGACGATTTTGTCAATATTTTGATTTTTTTTGCACCCTCAGATTCCAGATTTTCAAATAGTTGCATCTCGGCCAAATATTGTCCTCCTATCCTAACAAACCATACATCAATGGAAAGCTTATTTATTCAGCTTTCAGATGATGCATAAATCTCAATTTAAAAAAATGGACCCTTATGACTGGTTTTGTGATCCAGGGTCACATATGATGAAGTATACTTTTAAGTTAATTATTTATAATGTAGTCAAGTTTAGTTTATTACCCTTAAGTCTAATTGTGGCCCTTTTCATCCATTAAATAAACAGACTGACACTAAATCCATCTGTAGTCTCAGTTTTTTCTATGAAAACTCAAAACTGATGTTAACAAAGCATCGGCTGCAAACATGTAAAGGACATTTTTAAGCAAGAGAAACCAGTGGCTGCCAAATCTGCTGTGTACAACACGTAGCCACATGCAACAACAGGAAGCACGCTAACCACTGAGAAACTCACACAGGCAAGAATGAAGTCAACATGTGTGTATGACACTCAAGGGGGCCTTTCGCTTCTCAGAGTATTTCCTGTACCCACCTCCTCCTCTTCCTGAGACTCCCCCATTGGGCCGTTGTGTTTCTCTTGGTAGAGGATTTTTTTCATTTTACGGTACTGCAGGTTGTCCAGCTCTCTGACTGCATCCTTCGTCCTCTGGATCAGATCGATGAGGACCCGTGGAGGACGCTCTCTCCTCACGAACTCATGCTGGGACGGACAAAGAGGGACAGAGAGGGCATTTGTGAAATGTGACCCTGGAGCACAAAACCAGTCTTAAGTCGCTGGGGTATATTTGTAGCAATAGCCAAAAATAAATTGTATGGGTCAAAATTACTGATTATTCTTTTATGTCAAAAATCATTAGGATATTAAGTAAAGATCATGTTCCATGAAGATATTTTGTAAATTACCTATTGTAAATAAATCAAAACTTAATATTTGATTAGTAATATGCATTGATAAGAACTTAACTTGGACAACTTTAAAGATGATTTTCTCAATTTTCTCAATTTTTTTTGCACCCTCAGATTCCAGATTTTCAAATAGTTGTATCTCAGCCAAATATTGTCCTCCTATCCTAACAAACCATACATCAATGGAAAGCGTATTTATTCAGCTTTCAGATTGTATAAATCTCAATTTTGAAAAACTGACCCTTGTGACTGGTTTTGTGGTCCAGAGTCACAAATGTGTTTTTGCAGTTTTACCCATGCTAAGGCAAATAAAGTGGTGATCAAATGTATAAACACAGCTTCTGTGCATAACCCTCAGATTCTGGGTTTCTGAGTGGATCACTTAGAGGAAAGTGTGTTTTTATTTGGCCCCGTGTTCACCTGAAAACCACAAAAATTGCATTCATTTCATAAAAGCAAATATTTCAGGAGAAGCATTTGGGGGTTAAGCATGATGCAATTCAACTGCCACGAAATAAACCCACGTCTCAATCCTCTCAGCATGCCGGATTACTCCGCTTGTGCTCTTAATTACGTCATTTCGTCTTTGTCCTTTGCTCACTAGAGGGTGCTCATGTGTAATGTGGCCTCGAGTGGACACATGCCATATGGAGGAGGGTTTCTGACATGGCTGGCTAAATGTGGACTTGATCTCACCTCCTCAATGGAAATAAAAAGCGAATCGACTCGAGAGTTCAAGTGGCTGCATGTGTGCATCTTAACTGGGCTCGCAAAACCACAAACCATGAGTCTTTGAGAACTAATTGGGTGTATGCAGTTTTTCCATTACTCAACTGCAGTCATTTATTCATTTATTTATTTGGGAGAAGATGGTTAGGAGCACAATCCAAAATCCAAATCAATTCCTGTCCCATTCCTCGAAACAGTCGTTCTTGAACATTTACCGTAAATCCTCCAACTCCAACTTTATTTATAAAGCACCTAATAAAACAACTAAGTTGACCAAAGTGCTGTACAGTAAGTTAAATTAAAATAATATAATAGAAAATAATAAATAACCCAAAAAAAAAACACATCAATACACAACATACAAGACAGACCCAAAAGGGTAACTACAGTGACAATACCTCAGCACTCATCCCTGATCAAAGGCTAATGAAAAAAAAAAAATTTTAACGGCTTCTTAAATTAATTCAAAGATGATAATTGTCGCAAATACACTAGCAAACTGTTCCAAAGCCTTGGGGCAGCTACCGCAAATGCGCGGTCACCTCTGAACTTTAATTTTGATCGAGGCACATGTAGTAGATTTTGTCCATTAGATCGTAATGATCTATATGGGCTATACCATGCAGGGATTTAAAAACAAAAATTTAAATATTAAAATGAATTCTATAAGGTACTGGTAACCAATGCAATGATCTCAAAACAGGGGTAATGTGGTCATACTTCCGAGTACCTGTCAGTAGTCTTGCGGCTGAATTTTGAACCATTTGTAATCTGTCCAAAAGTTTTGTTTGAGTACCGTAATAAAGTGAGTTGCAATAATCTAATTGAGAACAAATAAAAACATGAATAAGCTTCTCCAAGTCTATACGTGCTAAGAAAGGCTTGATCTTACTAATCATTCTTAATTGGTAGAAGCTAGCTTTGACAACTTCACTTATTTGAGAGTTAAATTTTAAAGCACTGTCACAGATCACACCCACATTTTTTACTTGATGTTTCCTAAAAGGGCTTAATGTTCCCAAGTTAACTCAAGCTGTATCGCTCATTTCAGAGGGACCAAATATAGTGACCTCTGTTTTCGATTCATTAAGACTCAAAAAGTTAGCAGACATCCAAGACTTCACCTCATCTACACAGGCCAACAAACGCCCCAAGGCACTGGAAGAATTTGGGTTAAAAGACAAATACAACTGAGTGTCATCAGCGTAAGAATGAAACGACACACCATATTTATCCAAAATCAATCCTAATGGTAGCATATACAGAGAAAAGAAAAAAGGTGCTAAAATAGAGCCTTGCGGGACACCACAAGAAATGGGTGCCAATGCTGATACAAACTCTCCCATGCGGACCGAAAAACTCCTATTTTGAAAATATGACTTTATCCATCTTAAGGCATTTCCACAGATACCCACAGATGTTTCAAGACGAGATATAAGTATTTGATGGTCAATCGTATCAAACGCTGCCGTCAGATCTAAAAGTAAAAGTACAGTAAAATTTCCGAGATCAGTCGCAAGAAAAATATCATTAAAAACTCTCAGCAAAGCTGATTCAGTGCTGTGAAGTTTTTTAAAACCTGACTGAAACACTTCACAGATCTCATTTGCATCAACAAATGACTGAAGTTGCGTGAGAACGCTCTTCTCCATAATTTTAGCAGAGAACGGAAGTTTTGAGATTGGTCTAAAATTAGCTAACACACTCTTATCCAAATTAGATTTCTTCAAAAGGGGTTGGACCACTGCATGTTTACAGTAGTCAGGCACGACCCCCGAAGACAAACTCTTATTAATTATAGACACTATAAAAGGGCCAACTGAATTTAAAACTTGCTTTAACAAATGGGTCGGAACAATATCTTGAGGAGAAGTTGTAGACTTTACTCGGAGTATAATATCCTCAAGGATTGAAAGAGAAATTGGCTCAAAATCGGAGAAAGTAACACCAGATACCGATTGCTGAATGACATAATAACAATAAGTAATGTTATTACGTACATCTGATTTTCGATTTATGAAAACATTTTAAAAAGAATTGCATAAATCAGCAGACAGGTCTCCTACCACCTCTAATCTAGGATTAATAATGGAATCTATAGTAGAAAATAGAAGCCTAGGATTATGACGATTTTTCTCAATAAGATCTGCAAAGTACCTCAATCTAGCATTTCTTACAGCCCTTTGAAATTTAGACAGAATCTCTAAGCATTTCATAAGAAATTTGTAATTTATCTTTTTCCCATTTTCGTTCCCATCTTCTACAAATCCTCCTTCTGAGACTCTTCGCAGCAACTTTTCCTCTAAACCATGCATCATGAAGATCTTCTTTTATTCACTTACTTTAAAAGTATGTTTGAGAACATATATTTTGCTCTAAAGCAATAACCTTTCTTATTGGACTGCTTGAGGCGGACTGGTTAATTATAAACAGTTAACTGCACTAGCTCCTCTTTGAAGTGGACTGGTTCCCTATTTTTGTTTGGCTTTGTTGACATTAACATTATCTTTCATTTGACAACATATCATTTACTCCAAAGCACAAACCATTCTTGTACACTGCCATTTGAACATTTGGGTGTGATAAAGATTTTTAAGAAATTAATACTTTTATTAAACAAGTGTGCATTAAATGGATCAAAAGTGACATTCAAAATGTTGGAAAATATTCTATTTTAAATAAATGCAGTTTGTAATTTCCAAGCTCTATTAACTGTACATCATATGATACTCTTATGATAAAAATCTTTGACAGTAAATTCTTAATTTTTATCAGGAGGTATTTAAAATAAAAAATGGATTCCATGTCTTTAACATGAAATATGAGCTGTTTATACATCCACTGTGGGGAAAGAAAAAAGAAAAAAAAATCTCCTGTACACTTCTATACACTGAAGAAAAACATGGATTATCATATGTCTTTCTTTAAAAAATAAATTATTATTTTTCCTATTTATGGCCTATTTATAGGACTGAGTGCGCATTATTGAGTGCTAAACACATGTAATGTCCGTTTCATTCAAACTGGACACCAGAGGGTGCCCTCGCGCAGAAACTCCACAAATGCATCACAGAAGTAATAGAACTCATGACGTTCCAGGAAATCCCTAATATGGGCAAAGGTATCTAGCTATCGCTGTGACTGAATTAAAAGCAGCTAGAAACGTATTTTCATAATAAAGCCAATTTATAATGCAATGCTAATCGACATAGCCTTTATTGCAGTATAGAATATATTTTTATTCTGTAATAAGAAGCCACATCAGATCAGAAAATGAAGTTGTCTTAAAACACTTGACTGATGTTTTGGAGTAAAATTATGTTATAATGTTCTCATTAAGTTTGAGAGGATGTTTGGAGTGTGTTGCTTAATCAGATGCACGTTATAAACTCACAGCGCTTGCAGAGATGAGCAGCATTTACTACTGGCGCCATGCATATATTTGTTTCATTAAAAATCGCAGCCTTTGCGATTCAATAATCGCATCAAGCCAAATCGCGATTTCGGTTGGATTTCAATTAATCGTTCGGCTCTATATCTTACCAACTCCAAACTTGTGAGCAATGATGCAAACTTGTTCAAGGTGGACTAGCTCATTCTAAATGTTCGTTAACAGTCAACAAAACCTCGTTTTCAGTGATGACAAAATGTAAACTGCTCTAAAGCCTAAACTGATCTTGGAGGCCAAATCAAAGCGGACTGGTTCACCTTTTTTTGGTTTTCAATAACAGCTGATGATGTTCCCTCTCTCAGAGTGATTTGGAATGGAATCACAAATTCAGTTGACAACACATTTCGTTAAGCAGGTCACGTCTGTGTTTCGAGCGGGTAAAGCAAACGGCTCAACCGTTAAGCCCGGCAAAGACAGTTACAGCTAACAGCTCGGTGATAACACCGATAAGCATGGATTTAGACCCCATGTGAGATTAAGACAGCAGTTGGGAAGCTGCAAATGGTGGGAATAGAATAAATGAACGCTAGACTCAGATTAATGACCTCTTTTCGGTCTTAAGGAGCTTGGAAGGACAGTCTTGAGGTATTAGAGAGGAATGGGAGAGCAAAACT